GCAGGAGGATCGCTTGAGCCCAGGAGTTCGAGGTTGCTGTGAGCTACCATCAAGCTGCTGCACTTCAGTCAAGGTGTCAGGGTGAGACCCTGTCTCAAAAAAAAAAAAAAAAAAAGGAGAAAGAATATTTTTATAAGGACAACTGAATTGTTGGGTCTTTAAGACTCAAGACAATTCATTATTCAACCTAAACACTGCTCTGATAGCTCAATTTCAATAATGGTGCTTTTACATTTCAGTATTTTATATGTAATTAGAAGCAACTTCCTGGCCTTTCTCTTTTCTAAAAAAAAATTTTTGTCTGGTTTATTTCACTCAGTATTGCTGTTTTGAAAATGACCATGTTGCTGCATATGTCAACAGTTTGTTCCTTTTCGATTATTTATTTATTTAGCTGTTTTTGAGACAGGGTCTCACTGTGTTGCCCAGGCTGGAGTGCAGAGGAGCAATCATAGCTCACTGCAACTTCCAACTCCCGGGCTCAACTGATCCTCCTGGCTCAGCCTCCCCAGTAGCTGGGAGGCAAGCACCACCATGCCCAGCTAATTTTACGTTTTTTTGTAGAGATAGGGTCTCACTATGTATTGCTGGTCTTGAACTCCTGGGCTCAAGCGATTCTCCTGCCTCAGCTTCCCAAAGTGCTGGGATTACAGGTGTGAGCCACCTGTGCCTGCCCCAGTTTGTTTCTTTTCATTGCTGAGCAGTATTTGGTTATATGGATATACTGCAATTTGTCATCTATTCACCTATTGACGGATATTTGGGTTGGTCCAGTTTGGGGCTATTACCAATAAAGCTGCTATCTGTAGGTCTTTGTATGCATACACACTTAATTACTCTTGGGTAATTACCTAGGAGTGGAATGACAAATTCTAACATAGGTTTAGAACCTTTTTGTTAAGCTTTTCCAAACTGGCTGTACCATTGTGAATTGCCATGAGCATCATGGGAAAGTCCCATTTGCTCTTCATCCTCATTGAGGTCTTCTTAATCCCAGACATACTAAAGGATTTGAAGTGGTATCTAATACTTTCAATTTGCATTTCTCTACTAACGGCCCTGACCACCTTTTCATGTGTTTATTTGCCAACCACATGTCATCTTTGGAAAAGTGTCCAAATCTCTTGCTCACTTTTTATCAGGCTATTTTATTATTGAGTTTGTTACTGGCCATTTTTAAGAAGTCGAGCTGTTTTTGCCTAGTGACGAAACAGTCTTATTTAAAATGAGAAAGCATTTCATCACAAAGGCACAAAATTTGTGACATCAGACTTCATTGTTCAACTCTCCACAAACTCAAAATAATCCTATTTGTGCAAAGAAAATCACTACATCGTAAGAGAAAAAACCAATGACCACAACCACAAACTCTAACCTCAGAACTGAATATTACTAAGCAAAATAAAATGCTCCTTCATCTTTATGTTCCGCTGACAGTGACTCTGTGCAGTTCAACAGAGCAGCCACTAACCACATGTGACGCTGGAACACTTGAAATGAGCTGTAAATGTAAAATACACACTGGGGTTCAAAGACTTACTATGAAAAAATGCATGTGAAAGATCTCATTAATGATTTTTCTGTTGATTACATATTGAAGTGATAGTCTGAATAAGGTGGGTTAAATAAATTACTGAAGTTATTTTACCTGTTTTTACTTTTTAATAAATGTTTAAAATTTTAAAGTAACTGACTCACTCATATGTGGAAGCTAAAAAGGCTGATCTTATGGAGTAGAGAATAGAATGATAGTTATGGGGGAGGGTGGGTGATGAAGAGAGGTTGGCTAAAGGGCACAACAATACAGGTAGTAGAAGGAATGAGTTCTAGTGTTTGATAGCACAGTAGGGTGACTATAGTTAATAGTAATTTATATTGCAAAATAGAAGACATTTGGGGCCGGGCGCAGTGGCTCACGCCTGTAATCCTAGCACTCTGGAAGGCCGAGGCGGGTGGATTGTTTGAGCTCAGGGGTTCGAAACCAGCCTGAGCAAGAGCGAGATCCAGTCTCTACTAAAAATAGAAAGAAATTAATTGGACAACTAAGAATATATAGAAAAAATTAGCCGGGCATGGTGGCGCATGCCTGTAGTCCCAGCTACTCGGGAGGCTGAGGCAGTAGGATGGCTTGAGC